AAGAAATCCTTTCTTAATGTAACCTGAATATATTTAATCTTATATCACATTTGTATAACCCACACATGATACAATGGAGGGAGAAAAGCCAGATGGTCAGAACTATCACCTCTGAGAGGTACAACCAGGAAATGAGAAGATCATAAAAATTCCACAGTGAGATGTGTCCTGGGAATCTCTTGAATAGTTCGTTCTAAAAGGGGGGTGGGGGAGGAAACTAGGTATGCCCTGGGAAACTGTGAAAAAGATCGTTCCTTAAAAAAAGGGCTGGGGAGGAATTAACATAGTGGCTTTTGTTTCACTAAATACACATCAAGATAAGGGGAGGGGTTTTAAACTCCCTTATGTATCCCTGTATGCCTGAGAGACCTCAGACGCTGCTTTGAACTCCTACAGGAATTGTCTCATCTCAATAAAGGATTCCTTTTTGATACGTTTTCAGAAGTTCATTCTAGCTGAGTGAATGGGAAAAGTTCTGTAGCCTGACACCCACACAAGGAATTAGGATATTGTCTTTCTTAATGTACCATCAAAACAGCTGCTGGCTATCCAGCCCCATGAATGTACATCTTTGAACCATCTATTTGCAACACAGGTATACACACTCATTCATATGTCATATTTCTAGGAGCATAATATTGTAAAACATAGTCAGTTCTCTCCATTTCTTTTTTTTCTTATTCTCTCTATGCCTTTTAAGACTGTCACTTTGCCAAACATAATGAAACCTTTTATAAAAATTACCAGCTGCAGTTTTCTCTTTTGTCAATGAAAAGTCCTACAATTATTACCATAGCAACTGCAGTGTGTAATGTGCACAGTAAATCTACAAAACAAGACTTTGTTTTTCAAAAAGTATCCTATATTAATTTGTAATATAGCTGTTATTTTTAGCATTCGTAAACAACGAGGTTTGTAAATATCTCTTCTTTTTTCATGTGCATTCACTTTCTTGGGTTATCTTTTCCTTCCATTTTCCTATCTTGCCTCTATATATTGTTTAAATGCCAATTTGTATAAAAGGTAGTATTGGCATTAACAGGTATCAAATGAGACCACATAGAGTAATATCTGTGAATCCATAACAAGATGTCTCCTGTAATTTTTTTAAAAGTTATTTTAGGATACCTTGATGAATTGCAGATGGGAGATGGTTTAGGAAAAGGAAATCCCTTTATCTCTGTTTCTAGAAGGCTGCGTTCACTCTATGTTCATCCACTTTGCCCAAGAAACTAAGCACAATTAGACAACTGATTATTTCTACCTTCAGCATTGCAGAAACAGGGGTTAGGGTTGCCTGCTCAATCTAATTCTGGGCTAAATCTTTTTTACGTGAATTCATTCATTCTAACCATTTGGTCCCATTTTACTACTTCACTGTTACTTTCTGGATAGCCACCTTCCAAATATGAGTATGAATCTCTTAGCTACATACCAAACAGCACATACTTTGAAACTGATGCAGAATTTTTTCAGATATTTTTGCTGTTCATTAAAGTAGATTTGCTTTTTCTTGTTTCCAGTTGAAAATGCTTCTGCTTTTTGAAAAACATCAACTCAATAATGCGTAGAAAGAAAAATGGTAGAAACTTTTTCTAAGGCAGCCATGGAAACTTGAAAAACTTGAAAAAGGCTGGATTGCTTTTGGTTTAGTGAATACCCAAAAGATGCAGAGCTTGCATGAAGATCCAAAACAGTTCTATTGTATTATTTTAGAAGTGGTCATGCCTTTAAAAAAGAACCTATCACCAATATTCTCAGATTGTGCTTGAAACTTTATGAAGCAAATATTCTATGTAAATTCCCCTTTAAAAATCCCCTCTAAATGACACATTGGATTAATGATATATTATATATGTAAATACTTTTAGTATGGATGATAATTTGTACTTTTCCTTCCTATTGTATTTGGAATATCATCTTCCTTCCTTCTTTTCCCAACCATTCAGGAAAAGTTTGACGATCCAGATGTCACCCCACCACATGATAAAATTTGGAAATGAAGCTGGTGTCATTCCTAGCTTTTAGTTTACCTTTCAATGTTCAAAGTTTACCTTTCAATGTTCAAAGCAGCTGAAATCATGGTGCTCATCACCTTTTTGACTAGAGGAGTGCTATATTCCTAAAGGTCGTTTGCAGAAAATGGAACCACATACTTAGACATTTTTAAATAACATAATGCAGATCTAAAAGCTTAAATTATATTAGTAACATTATAAAAGCAAATGTTTATCAATCACAAGCTGTATTTGGCAAGTAGATGGAAAAGTAGGATGGACTGCTTCTTTGAAACATATTTAATCTGACTACTAAACATTGAAGGCATTCAGGCTGGCAAACAAAATTGTACATTCAATTTGATAATATTCCAAAATGCATTCTAATTTCTCACCAGCTCCCCTTTCTTCTCCTGAACACTCTCTCCAATGGTCTTGAATTTTTCTTTCTTTTTTATTCTTAGATTTTGAGTGGAAGCATCCACTAGATAGCGCCTGTTGCACAGTGTTAAAGGAATTGTCAGA